AACAGCCCCACCCCAATTTTTGAGTACATATGGATCCACCAGACTGGAAAGTACAATTTATTTCATCAAAACACTTCATAAAGAGCTAAAAACTAAAGGGAGAGTAAAAAAAAGACACTTTAAATCAGCCTCTCAGCTTTTTAGAAGGACCCTTTTTTGTAGAGTGAAAAGACATTATATCTTTGCTACAACGCCCATCACCCCCAACTCTTTTGAACATGTTTGGATCAACAGGATAAGAAAGAACAATTGAAGGGGTGCGTGCAAAAAAGCCCTAAGTGACATTTTGGTCGATTTTCTGATTTTTGAATAAACATGCTGGATTTACCATGTACTATCATCTGACAAAAGTTTTTGTTCCAAAACTCGCTAGTTTTCACACTAAAAGACGATTCATTCACGCAGATTTGTTCCCGCGAAAATTACAGTACCTTTACTGCCAAATACGTCACCGCTCATGCTGCAATTGAGGTGGTAATTGCCTCGCAGTGCGTACAACCTTCGAGCAATTTGTCTGCCATTTTGTTTCTTTTCTTCGAAGAGGTCTGGTATCTAGAGAGGCATATAAGCTGTCGTATAAGCCTAGTGAAAAGACCCTCTTTACAGTTAAATACGGAAAGTTCACGACCATTACCGAGCGGTGTTCGCGTGAGTCTCGCCAGACGTCACACTGCGAAGCAATGTTCCAGATGCCAGATCAAATGATCACAGCTTGATAATCTTTAACAGACACAAATGATTTCAGTCTGTTTCCAATATAGAACAGGTTTTATCGAGTTGCCTTCAAGTCTCGCAGTTTGTCTGAAGATTTTTTTTGAATAGGTGCTGGAAGATATGACGAAAGGGTAGATTTCACTATTCTTCAGGCGGTTTTTTCTTAGCGAGGAGAAGCATTGTGTGACCGACCACATTATGGCTGCGAAGGACACAACTTTTGCCTGGGTTTTATTTTACGAGAGCTTATTGTTCTTTTCAGCTTTTCGCGTCGCTTTCAAAGAAAACGAGGCCAAGAAGTCGAGTCTTTGTAAACAGAAATTCATAAATTCGGGCTAAATAAAAACATTCTAATTAAGGTTTTTATGGTGTGAATGTGTAATCTTACATAAAATTTTAACTGCGAAACGCTTGGAGAATTGTCTTGTTGCTTTACCAAAACACTTAGACACATGAACTAGAGCGCTAGCACTATGGCGCTATATAAATAAAGTACCTATTAATATTATTATTATTATGACTGAGTCTTTGCACCTCGTAACCATGGCCGGTTTGCGGTGGGTATGTGGCATCGGACGTTTTTTCACTACGCCGGTTGTCTCGCTTAACATTCCTGAAGGTGTTTTGGTTCTTTTCATGAGACATAAATACTAAAACATGTAATCACCTAAAACCACCTACAATGACCTACAACGACCTAAAACCACCTAAAACCATCTACAACCACCTTCAATCCACTTAAGATGTTGTTTTGTGCCTCTGATCGCCTGCGTGAATACCGGAAATGAGTGTCTCTGGGGGGAGCGGTCCGGTTTAGTCCCAAAGAACTACAAATCGATAGGAACATTACCAGAATATAGTTGCTGTGCTTTGAAGCATTATCCCATAGAAGGAAGGTTGCATGGGTTCTAGAAAGGCCACAATTCTGGTTCAACCAAATGGTTTCAAACAGTACGCAAATAATATTTGGCGAGACCATTTCCGTTCTCCGAATCAAACGTTCCAGCTTGTTTGCAATTTGGTTAAACCACTTCTAAGTAAGTTTTTTTCTGTTTGCCATTTGTTTAACCGACACGTAACACTTAGGCTAGGTTTACGCATTTCCACACTATTACTGAGGAAGAACTAGGAATAAATATTTATTTTTATAAA